GTAAGACATATGGGTCCTAAAATAAAAGTAACTTTCAAACATCTGGTATTTTTATCTTCGTCATGTCTGTGATTAATTAAGTCTTCCAAAGTCAAAAGTTTAACACTTTTTTCTCTTCGTTTTTTATTCGAGAGGCGGAGGCATTCGAGAAGCGCTTCCAAGTGGTGGCAAATGCCAAAAACAACAACCACTCACTGGTAGAGCCGGTGATGTCCCTCTCCTTCCAGGATTACTTAAGCTGATAGTGGGTTTGACTTCCTGGTATTTGCTAATATCAGCTTATTATCAAACGAACTGTGCGGGAATTTGTTCTTCCGCTGGCAGAATCGATATCTCGTGCTACAACAACATTACTTCCCAACGCGTCATTCCGGCTAGCTGGATCAGTATGAATGACCATATCACTTTCTTCTAAAAAAAAAATTGATCAAATAATTCCGGTTTTACGTAAAATAAGAAACATGGTATGACCGTTTATGAAATGATCTTTATGTTTTATCTTTCTAATGAAAACTACGAAATATTCATAAACTATCCTATTTAAGGAAGCCGAAATTAGAAGCGCAATGGACCGAGCACATCCTGGCAACGCCTATTAAACCTGGTGGCACATTTCCGCATGCTTTGGTACCTAATGCAAAGTTGAAATGTGCTGAGAAAATGACCCGTTCGATGGTGACCCCTTCTATGGCTTCATCGATTGCCGTTGGTAAGTTTTTCAACTCTCGGAGTATGGATTTTTGTTTAACCAAATGCAGTAAACTGATCCAAATAAATTAATCCTCTTTGATCAAATCGAGCTCCTGTGACATTAAATACTTTTTAGACAAAAATTTTGGCATTTCACACAAAAGATGATTTTGGTCACCTTTGCGTTTCTTGAGTAAAGTAATGTTTTCATTAGGGAGAAACAATAAGTTGAATAAAAAGACTGAAAAACTGAATTAATCCTAAACTGCATTTAGCAGGTTTGACAAGAGGAGCACCAGCTCAACAAAACCGGAAATCAGTCAAATTTGCTAGATGCATTAGTGGTGAGAATGATCGTGGTGATGAAACAACAGTTACTAAAATGTTTGCGAGTATTTGTGAACTAAATGGGAGAATCAAGACACATGAACAAAACAAATACTCAATTTTATCACAGTCACAAAATCGAGTGCATTTTGTGGATTTCGTCATCCTTCCCGACATCCTGTGTTCATTGTCAAATTTGCATTTTTCGATGAACGACTCCATGCTAAGTTTACGTAACCATAGATTTTACGCGAGCCCGTGATACACCACAATCGTCTCAGCTGATGCCCTTTTTCCCCGACATGTGAGAAAAGGCCAAAACATAGCCAGGATGATTCCTTGTGTTTAACTGTGAAGCAACAGCAGTTCATGCTGTTAACGGTTCGACTGTTTCAAGTTTCATGCAAAACGCATGATAACACCAGCAAGCCTGTTGTACCTGAATCGACATTTCAGGCGCAATGCCAGGTGCACGAGCTTCAATGCATCCAATGTCCTATTCAACGATGCCATCTGTGGGTTTCTCAATCCAAAGTACAACGGCAGAAGAACATCCGGAGGAAATGATGGCCCAGAGCCAGATGATCGATGTGATGTTTGAAACATCTGAGCACACGAGAAGTAGCCGTCCCGGTAAACCCCAGCAACCACTGCAGATTCTACCGTATCCTTGTGCAGCATCCATGCAATCGTCAACTGCAGTGCTTGCGGCCGCGCAGCAGGATCAGTAAGCTTTCTTCTCTTCATTTCCGATCTTATGCAATTTGGCACATGCTCATTATGTACATAACGAATAGGAGGCTGTATTGATGATTCCCAATCCTTCCTACATACTGCATTGATTTGTGTTTAAAGCTGGGAGATGATTTATAAAAAATATCTTTGATTTATGAAACATGTCTCCATTTTCCTCGTCTCACCGTAAGTGCGCTCTACTTCCTCAGCTACACTTCTATTCATACGATATTTTTGATCAACTGTAATTCATGTCATGATAATTCATCTATTCTGAACAGTTTACTGGTAATCCTGAAGTTCTTACTAAATAAATTGCAAAAATTTGCCCATCAAACGAACCAGAAGCATAAAACGCATGAAGACAGTCATCTTTATAAAAAAAACTATTTTCAAATAAGTGACCTCCTTTTTCTCCATCCCAACCTTGCGCCCCCGTGCGTTTGCATTCTCCCTTCCCTCTCTCATTTCCCTCACTTCCCTATCTAAATTTTAAATTCGCTTTTCAATGGATTTCTGTCCTAAGTACAGCTTAAAAATCCTTAAACTCAGTAAGGCGAGCGTCAAATTAACTTTATTGTTATAAGAACGGAAAAATAAATCCACGAAGCAACAAAGCAGGACAGTCTCATCGCAAGCTTCTCCGGCTAAGAACCACATAAAACGAGCGCCAGTATTGCCAATAGACTGACCACCGGAAGAAATGCGGCACTGGTCAAAGCAACTGGTAAAGCATATACACAAGCGTGTTATGAAGTGACAACAACCCAGCTATTTTAGGCATTGTGAGTAGGCGCTATTAACGATTTTGCCACCACTGCTATTGCTAGGCAAAAAAATTTTAAGATTTCGTGAATTTTTTTAGGCCGCTACTTATGACTCAGAGTGTGGGATTTGTTGCTCCGCCACTAACGCAGCCAATGATGCAAATCTCCCTCTCATTCGACCAGACGCCACGTCGTCAACTGGAAGATATGGCACGACGTGGACAGCGCTTCTGCTCGTTGCCACCGGTACCGGAACTTTCGACTCCAAGCGAAAGTTCCATGGTTGAATCGGCACGGACAGAAAGTTCCCCAAATCCTACGGGTACCCTTGCCACCGAACCTGCAGAAACATCGTCATCACCACCGCCAACAGCAGTACCCATGGAGCCAATGAATAATCCGATGACAACATCAAGATTGTTCCAGGAATTCTCGAATCGTCATCTTCGTGAACAAGGCTACTGATTTTTTTTTCTAGTTGTGTTTACCAGTGCACAATTGTGCTTGTGGCGCTTTAATTTTG